ACATGTATCTGTTGCAGAAGAATAGGTTTAACCATAAATACAGAGAAATTCAAAGAATGGATGTAATAAGAAATCTGTATACATTAGCGTTTTATTCATAATGAAACTAAATAATAAAAAAAATAAGTTAAACGACTTTCAGTATGTACTTCTCGCGTTGTAATTATTTATACTACAGACAATAAACAATGATATTATTTGGCTTTAGAAAAGAAAACAAAAGATATTTTCTTTTCGTCGAACCCAATATAATGAACAACGGAGAGGATAAAAGTAAGAAAGACAAAGAACATTTCAGGTTTCACCTCAAACCGAAATTAATTACACGGTCGAACAATGTGTTATTGCAAGATAGATAAATCCAGACAGACTATCTCATTAACAAGCCTCGCCTAGTCGCCCTAGGTACGGTCCGCAGAAAAATATTTGTTTTACAAAAAATGATAATGTTGAGTAATAAATACAATTTTGGTTTCATTATCTATAGTTACTATTTAATTAAACAAAGTAGAAGGTGGACACACTTAGGGGTCCATTTAATTTACAGCCGAATAGATCAACTTTGTTTTGCGAAATAACCAAAACCGTTGCCTAGCAACCGCGTCGTATTAAGCGACTTATAAGTTTGAATGTCGAGAAAATGTTACTTTTACGTTACATACTTCTTACTTTTATTCTGATAATTTTATGGTGGTATCCGATCTGTGGAAATACTATAGAAAAAATATATCTTTATATGACAAAAGTGTAGTTCACTTGATGCAAGGAAAAACCAGTCACATCAAAAAAGTTGCGCTCCTCACATGTATAATGGCTTTGGAAAATATAAACGCGATTAGACTGCAACATTTTTTATATCTGTGGAAAATGATTCGTGACCTGGACGAAATTAATTTCAAGATTTCAAAACAAAGTTTAATATATTTTATAAATATATATCTATGATTTGAAACATGTTGGACCTGGTGGAAATAAAACCCACGACCCGTTGCTCATCAGCTAATAATTTACACTTTAAATACTCACTTAAAAATATGTTTAGGTAACAAATTCCTAAATAAGCTTTTTTTTCCTTCAAGTTTTTTTTTCCAACCGTACAAATACTTCTATCAATGGTTATTAATTAACAATCGAGTAGTAGATAACTGATTGTGGTCAAGCACGCACAGAATAGCAATGCTGCATATTCTAGTCGTCGTCTTTTTTTGTGCCCATGGCCGAAGTCACGATTTCTTTGATGATAAGAACTTGGTAGGTATTATCAAAGTACTGTAAGACACCAAAGTTGATCTCTTGAATATTATATTGAGTTACACTTAGGGCTAATGTACGGCATTAAAAAGAAATAAAACTTTTTAGAGGTCACCTCTATACTCATATATAAAGCTGAAGAGTTTGTTTGTTCGTTTGAACGCGCTAAGCTCAGGAGCGTTCAGAGGCTCAGAGGTTTAAATTGAAAAATTATTTCGGTGTTGGTTATAGCACTTATCGAGGAAGGCCCTAGGCTATAAAACATCACGCCGCGACTAATATCGCGAAATGTGAAAAAAACGAGGAAAATAACGCATCTTGTTGTGGCCTTTCGTTACGTAGGCTGCGAAATCGCCTCAGAAAAATATGTACGAAAGAATTATTCCTATTTAAATGATCTTAATGTCCGGGACAGTATATTTCTATCTTTTAAGATTACCATGCAAGAGCGAAGAGACACGGCCAACGTCGTAACGGTGTAAATTTATAGAGTTGAACAGGTTTGCAATAACGCAATAACTATTTTACGCGAAGACGCTGACACAGCTAGTTTTACATATAACACACGTTGACTGGTTAAAAACACGTATACTACTTATTCCCGATTTGTCACCAGTGGTCACGGGGGGACTGAAGTTGGAGGGTGTTAAATGTCACAGAAACTGCTTGGGTCCTTGAACTAACTAACGTTGTCCTGTAGTGCACGGGTGTTTTTTGGGGTCTAGTGTAATTAAAATAAATTAATTAATACATAAATTACTTAATTTATTTTAGCATATACTTCGCGTTTTAAACCGTTAAAAGTGAATGTTTCGTTGTTTGAATCAAACAACATAGGACTGATTACCGTTTACTTTCCGCTAATTAAGTAAATAATGAATAAGTATGTTTAAAACTAGTTAATTCCAGGATTTATAATAACTTAATGCAGACCTCTTTTTAACTACATTTAATGTTTCAATTGAGATTTTGTTTGTTGTTGCAAGGATTATCCCAGTCCCAGCCAGGGGGGTTATAGAAGCGCCCCAAATAACCAACCTCCGTATTATGAGAGATATAAAAGGGTAAATATAGAATATTGTCTGTTATGCAAATTAATTGTTTGCTTTGTCTAGCTCGCTGTATCAATGATAGCAATATGGCTAATAAGCATCGCGTCGTGGAATCGATTCCGGCATGGTTCAACGTGTTTATGAAATACGTTTAACATTTGAGTCTACTAGAGGCAGAGTGGCCTAATAACAATAATCATGATTTTCAATAAGGAGTAAAATAAATATGCGCATTTAACTTAGGCATTGAATTTGTGCTATCACTTCTGTAAGAATTATGTTAACAATTTTCGCTTGTATGTATTGTAATTTGCTCTTGTATATCATATATATATATAAAAATATAAATAAGTCAAGTTATAAAATTGCAGTCAGGCCACTCTGTCACTAGCGGCCTATTTTTTTCTAAAACACGTATGACTTCGTTAGAGAAGTTAGAATAGTTGGTAGGAATATCGATATTCCGTCTTGGTTACCGTCCCTGTAGAAAAGAAGTATAAAATCACCTTTCAATATATGTGGATTTGAGAATATCAAAGCTAAAAATAACAACGCATCTTTCTTAATATTGTTCTTGTTATTGTTGTTCTCTGTCTCGAAGGATATAATATTTTAACGTCACTCGCAAGTTTACATTAATGCAACATCACATTTTTTTATTATTAAAATTGTTCATTTAAAATGCAAAATTTCAGCCGAACCCGGACCATTATAGAGTGAGTAACAAAAGCTTTTACTTAACGATCTACATTGTATATACTTTGCATTTATCTATACTCTATACTAATATATAAAGCTGAAGAGTTTGTTTGTTTGAACGCGCTAATATCAGGAACTACGGGGTCGAATTGAAATTCTTATATGATCATTTATCGAGAAAGGCTATTAAAACATCGCGCTTTGACTAATAAAAGCAAAGATACAGCAGGAAAAGTGAACAAAACGGGGGAAAACTTTCATATATGGGATTCAGATACGTACGCTGCCAAAAACGGTAAATGACACCCAAAAAACATGTTTGAAAGAATGAAATGAAAAAAATGACCGCGGCACTATATATCGGTCTTTTAAGACTAACTTACAAGAACAATGGGACCCGAACGACGGGACTCGACCGATGTCGTCGGACAGCTTAAATTTATAAAGATGTAGAAGTTTGTAAAAACAAATTTTGCTGCCCAAAATAACTACCTACGCGGACGAAGTCGCTGACACAGCTAGTTTACTATAAAAATACTTTTTATTTCCTGGCGCTATATCATTATTATTTATTACTACAATTAAAACGGCCTAAGCCAATTACATTAATTGTATATATCGCATTTACGACAATTCACATTTTATTTTACCATTTTGTACCAGATAAAACCAGTTAAGAAACCCAACTTGCCAAGATTCACCGAAGTAAGTTTACTACACTTTTTTTTAATAACGAAAAGCAAGGATTTTTAGAGTGCACTAAATTATTTTTACATATTATAAATTTAAAAATAAATGGCTATAAATTAAGTTAGGTGTATTGTTAATGTTTCTTATTTAATATAATTAATGTAAGTTATGTCTAACTTTTTTAGATGTTTTATTAATTATTGTCTAAAGTTAACGCAAGTAAAATACATGTAAATACAATGTGTTACAATTTATTCGTTTTCAGTATAAAAGTAAAAGTAAACCCAGCCCAGGAGTAAGTACTTGTTTGTGGCCATTTTAAAGCCAATTTAAAACAGAATAATTAACTAAAGAAAATATTAAAAAAAAAATCATTTGTGTTTGAAAATATAAAAATTAACTTTATGATTTATTACTAGTGCTAGAATTATGCTGCAATTATTCACTTATTCTTTGTCAACTTTGTTTACAGATGGGAATGTATTGGGAAAATACTGAGGATACTGTAAGTAATGAGTAGAAAATATATAATATTTTTTTATAGACTAAGCTTCAGGATTGAGCTAATCTCGGGAACTACTGGTTCTAATTGAAAAATTGTTTTTGTTGGATTGACTATTTATGATACTATAGTAAGTAACGAAGAAACGGAGCAAAGTGTGGAAATAATGGGGAAAATTATCCATCTTTGATTTGATTTGCACGCAACGGCGTGGGCTGCGAAATTTGTAGAAGCAACCGAATAATATGTATGAAAAAAGTGTTCTTCTTCAAAAGATCTACAAATTGTCTTAAGACAAGAACGAAATTAAAACATTATTGACAATTATTAAGTTATTGTGAACTTGTAATAACCAATCTCTTTATAGACACCTCAAGCAGAACCAGCTAGACAAAGTGTAAGTTTTACTAAACCCTTAAATCATAGTGCCCTTTTTTTGTAAAATCCCCTTTGCCTGGCGGCGGAACGGAATTTTTACGAATCGGTTTTAATTACGTAGAAATATTTGTATCAAACTACTCTACTCTGACGCCTAAAACAAACCCTGGGATCCGAACCGAGGACCGAGGACGATAACTATTTGGCTATAGATGCGATCGCCTTTATAATATAAATACAATATTAATACAAATGATTATATACACGAGAGTTGAAAAATTAGAGTAGGAAACGGTAGCTCAATTGCTTAGAGCAACAGCACAAAATGCTGTGGATGCCAGTTCAAGTGCTGTCCATGTCTTAATTTTTTGTAATCTGTTATCGATTTTTAATTTAAAATGTTGATTCAGCTGACACGAGAACAGATAATGGAAATAGCTATTAGCAGATTACAGGTAAGTGGAAATAAGATAACATTTTCCATAAAATAATTTGTAGCATTAGTGTACATATTACAAAATTGCTTAATTTCTAATTTCAAAACTATGTACAGATTGTACGATTTTGTGAGCCGATTGTCGACTTCGTAATCAGAATTAAAAATTGTCAAAGTTAGTATTAGCTTTAAATTAAGTGATAAAGTTTGATAGACTGCTAGTAAGTATTGTCTGTAGTTTACGCGAGTAGTACACATTTAAATAATGCGATTTAAAACGAGAAATATAATTGTAAACTTATTTAATTTAACTTCGGTCCGATAATTGAAGTTCGTTTCGGATGCTTTGCAGCCGTGGTCATTGTGGGACGGAAGATGCCTAATGATAAAATCTGCTATACTAGCGCCATCTGTTCGTCGGAGTTAGGAAATAAAATGTAGGTTCTAATTTGACCCACGGTGTCCTTTTAGTTAAATAATAAATTTCGCGTATTGAACGGTTAAAAATGTTTTTATGTTAAGTTAATAGACGACTATTGTCAACAAACTAGCTACTACTAATTAGCCCTTGCATACTCTTTTATCGAGATTTGATCTGTTTGGGATGTGAGAAATTATAGGTGTGTAGTGTCGTGTCTTATACTTTGCAACTACAAAGCGTATGTCTCTTTTCAGAATGTAGATAGAATCGAAGCTAGCTCTGTGAAGGAAATATCTTCTGCTTTATCAAAAATTCCCTTAGAGGTACGAAATCTTTATTTAATCGTTCCTTAAAGAATAATGATATTGGTATTTATATTATAGAAATTTAAGATTTAATTACGATTTTTACATTTAATTCTATTTTTACAGATTCCTTCACCACAGGAGATGCGGCCGGTAAGAAAAAAAAATCAACTTAAAAAAAATACTTTTAACGGTCAATAACGCGAAATAAATTAGATAAACTTATTCAAAAATTTAAACTACGGCCCCATAAACGCGAGGACACCGTCAGACGGTTCTTTCTGCAAGGCGACGAAACAGATGCCGCTAGCGAGGAAATTTTTCTTTGACATCAGGAACATCCTTGATCTTTAGTCTTCCCGTTAGCACGGCTGCTGCAAATCAATCAAAACGTCGAGCAGTAGTTAAATACGTTTAACGAATACATTTTGCGTTTTAAACCGTTTAAAGTGTTATTTTTATCTGTACACTAGCTACAGAGCATTAATATAATAAAAATGTATTAAACATTTACTAATTTTAAGCGGCTGGGGGTAACAGACTGAAAAGAGCGCTGTACGAATTCGTTTCGTACAGCGCTGTTTAACAGTCAGCTGCATCTGAATCCTGAATTTACTGTTTTATGTAATTAAATAATGTCTCTTTATTTAGTTTCTCGTTATATTGTATTTATTGCAGTCTCCAGTAGTACAGAAACCAGTGAAGATAACTAATGGTTATCCAACTAAAGTAAGATCATATTCATTGTCATCTTTGTTACAACACAAATTATTATAAATTATGATAGAGGACCGTAGACCAGCACGAGGTTCATTTCATGGTAATGGTATGCAATACCACAGCCATATATCTTACAAGAAGCGCTGTTGTCTTTTTCTTAACTTTGGAAATTCGTAAATCCACCGCTTGAAACTGAAATGCGACTAAACTTCACGGCTTTTTCATCTGTGGACGGTGGTTCGCGACCCGAACGGAATTTCAATATTACCTATATCCTACCACCCATCCTTCTTTCCAAACAAACTCCAACATATTTCAGAAAACTTATAAATTTATAAGAAAGGTGTTGTACCGGGTGGGGATCGTATCCACGGCCCGTTGTATATTAGCCATACTATTATTACACCAAATAGCGCGGCAGTTTAACCGTTCAAAAATCAAAATACGTAAGTTAATTAAATTTTAACTTCTACCGGATGTTCTGCTAGTTGGTTGACAATATTTTTACGTTTTCAGGATGACTTCGGTTCACCAATTCGATGGGTGTCAATAAACTCGGTAAATATATTATTAAATCAATCATGTGCAATAATACACATATGTGTAACATATGAAGTTTTCAAACTTCTCTCGAGGCTGTAATTTAATTTTCAATTATCTTCTGAAGCTGCAAAGCATAAGACATTCAACTTTAATATGAAAGTTTAGAAGAAATTATGAAATTTCAAAGCGCAAGAGGTGCAATTATCAATACGTTGAAAAGGTCGACGAAGACGATAGTTCAATTGTTTAGAACAACAGCGCTGAACGCTGTGGATGCCGTGTGTCGTACTTTTTCCATCTATAATCGATTTTTAATTTATATTAAATGAAATTCTTAAATTGTTTAAACCCTTAAAGCGTAGTTAACCTCCGTGGCAAGTTGTCTTGCGATCAAATGCCGGTAAAACAATTCTAAATATTGTGATAATTTCTAAACATGTATATTCTCTTTTTTTCTAGAAAGATACCAGCGATGGATTAGCAAAAGTAACGGTATGTGAAGAGACTGCTTAGGTATTACAGGTCGCGAAATCAAACCAAATAAAAAGTTATATAGTACGAATAGGATATATAAAAAACGAAGGCTTGTCGTTCATGTTAGTCCTTAATGTCATTCGTATATCATTTTCTTTAATCCTAATAACGAATTATTGACATAAGTCAAATTATTGCTTACCAAACTAACATACTCGTTAGATTTAAAAAAAAAATTCACATTAGATTTAAAAAAATAACAACAAGACTCTAAATATACATTAAATGCTCATAAAACCTTATATAATAAACGACAAGAATTGGCAAGAAACTCACCGCCACTCCTCTTATCGCCAAGATTCCGTTTATGAACATTTTAACCAATATAGTCTTCGGTTTGATACTTCCTTCCCAACGCTTTAGGACATAAAGATTCTTCTTCAATTATAAGTCAAGTATTTCTAAATGTTACAGAATCCAAATACAGGAAGAAATCAACAGTATTCAGTTAATGTAAGTAATTAGGGGATTTATTGTCAGCCTAGCTAAGACATCTTAATTTTTGTTGTAATCGTTGTAAATAGTTATGGGATTTACAGAAAACAATGACAATAAATTTAACAGTTTGAAACGCGATATATTCGTTAAAGTATTTACAATTTCTTTTAACCACAGCCTCACGTTAAGTTGGTATTTGGACTAAGACTACACGACACAATTGGCTAGAGTAGTTTTGAATTTGATGTTAGGGACACTCTATAACTTACGTCAATGTGTTACCGTTGAATTGGATTGTAACTGTAATGGCAGGATATGAATGTGTTTAAATAAATAAATCTTCAGTCCCCACGTAACACGACTGTTAAGTGAGACGACGGGCCATTATTAAAATAAGTCAACTTCTATAATTCGCGTTTTAAACGTTAATTTTTTTTATTTAAATGAGCATAACTCGCGTATACTACAGACAATACTGAGTTAAGGAATAGTAAATATTTGAATCAGTACGATGCTGCTGTAAGTTTTAATTGCTGTATTTTTAATGAATTACAATAATTTTAGGGAACCATTCTTGTACCAGTCATAGATCACGACCTGCAACGCCTGGGATTAACTGTAAGTTAAGCTGTAAAGTCAGAAAAATAATTAATTTCATAAATACTTAAACTTAAGAGTTTACAAAAGTGGCCTTTGTTTTCTTAAACGCCGATTTTGACCCAAATGGTCACGAACACGAGTCCCACTTGCTTCTTTACTCGTAAGCAAACATTTATGTTCTGTTAATTCATTTTAATATGTTTTAAAACGTTTAACTACTAATAAAACACCACGGTACACAACCCTGCTGAAAGAGTATCAAACGACTATTAGAGTTAGGGTTTCACAAAGTGTAGAACGTAATAGTCACTCTTTTAACTCTTGTTTCAGTCAACAACGTTTCGCCCAAAGGCTGTAAAAAAGGCGTTGCGCACTGAGGAATCCGCGTTGAAAGTGATAGCCAAAAATGTTGACGTGAAAAACATGGATTCTGGTAACTGGTTAGCTTATGAAGCCGCGGCACTGGGTCAGAGGAACGCGGAAACAGATGTTAAGTTTTTTAATATATATGTATATGCTTTTATTTTATATATAACTAAAAATTTCTTCCGTATTGTATAAAACCAAGTAGCTACTTAACAAAGAATTCATAATATTGTGTGTAGTTTATGTGTTTAAATCAAACATTTTTAACGGTTTAAAACGTAAAATGTTTTAACTTCAACGTTTCGAATGCTTTGCGGCTTCCATGGTTTCTGGAGGACGGATGGGCGATTCAAAGCGAAACGTCGGGATATCGTTAAAATAAACTAACTCAAATATTTTGCGTTTTAAACCACTAAAAGTGATTCATTTAAAAGTGTTCACGATGTAATTTGTTTCAGTGTGATCAAGAGAGTTGTCCAGCAAGAGTAAGAAAAATTTTAAATTACTATAATATAACTACTACTTTTTTGTTACCCGCTTCATTATAAATTGCTATACATAAGTCTCGCTTTACCTTTACGTAAATAATCTATCAATATTATATATCTTAACTTAAAGGACTTGTTATTCTGTCACGTAAATATGCATAATTTTTTACATATCCGACATCTTTCAGTGTACTCGTCTTGGCTGTGAATCAAGAGTAAGTAACCTTTTTAATGACTATGGATTCTAAGACTTCACTAGTTACCTACTATGTCGACAAGGGTTCATCCCCTCTTTTCTCGTAGCTTGAACTTATATTAAAGCTATATCCTGTGAGTTACGGAGTGAACACATGTCTTGAGTCCCGTTCCCTGATCGGTTTTGTATACAGGCAAATAGTTGACTTCTTTGCTGATTCGTGTGTTGTGTGTGTGATTCGAGCTCAGGACCTCTCGCGCTTAACGCACGTCTAACCATTTAGCTTCAGAGGTGGTCAGTAAAACTGATGTAAGCCTCCCAAAATTATAGACAGAAACAAGATCAATTCATTTTAAAACGTAAAAAAAAATTATTCCCTTTTTTTGCGCCTATTTTTAAAAAGAGTCGAGCTTCCCTAAGCTTCAATGTCTTGGTGTATTGCACCGCCTGGCGTAAAATAGCTCGACCTACGGTATCTACGCGAGTACCTAACACCTAATAACCTTTTAGTCGAATAACCAAAGCATGAAGCTAGGGAAATTACTTACCATCAAGTGATGAGTATAAGATACATAACGTTCTATGAGAAGATGATAAATCAATAAGTTGTTTTCAGTGCCGCGGAGACACGTGCTCATCAGGTGTAAGTTTAGTAAAGGGCAAATGCAAACTGTTTATTCATAATTATTAGATCTTGTGCTATTTCAACATTCACTTTTTTCAGTGCGTTGGTACATCATGCAGTACTTTTGTAAGTGAAACTAAAGTTATTTATAAATAATTAAGCAAACATTTACGTTCTGTTCATACATTTGAGTATGTGTTTACACTTCCAATTACTAATAAATCGGTTGAAAGAGTGACAACAGAGAAAGTCTATTGTGAAAAATTAACGCCACGAGCTCGACTCAAACCCGCCGTTATATACAAAGCTATCGTGAGGACTTCATGAAAATTATAATTTTACTAGATGTCCCGGCAAACGTTGTTTTGCCATATAAATAATTTTACCAAAATGGCTATTAAAAAATAAGGGTTGATTATCAATGAGAATCGGCCAACATCTCTTTTGTGCTTATCCGGTGATAAGCACAAAAAAAATCATCGGAGGAGTATGGCGAACAAAACTGTGACACGAGAATTTTATATAAGTCTCAACTACTAACTAAATTTTACCCTTAAAAATAAATTTGTCTTTGTTAACTCAACTTCTAAATTACTTAATTACTATACTCATAAGCAATGAGGACGCGTGTAGGCTCTTAAAAAAGCCAACATCCCAAACTACAAATCAGTTCTTGAAAGTCTTGGAAGTGTTCACAAGTGAAAATGAAGCATTTATAATATATCAGTTGTTTAATTGCTAAGGACATTATTATCTTATATATATTTTTTAAAATATGCGTTTAAGTGTAATTTAGATTTTTTTTTTTTAATATAGTAAGTTTTTGCAATCTGAAACATCGTGTATAATATTGTCTGTTACAGTGTAAAGGCCCTGGATGTTACGCCATGGTAACTAAATAAAAATTTTATCTATTATCTATTGTATCAATTTAAATAAAACACTTGAACGATTTAAAACGCGATATATTAGTTAAACTTATTTAGTTGTCACGGGAAGTCTCCCCGTAACCACGGCTGCTGCAAAGCATCCGAAACGTCGGGCCGAAGTTAAGAATCATATTCAAATAATTTCAACTAATATATCGCGTTTTAAACCGTTAAAGTGTTTTATTTAAATGTGTACAACTCGCGTTAACTATAGACAGTATTTATTATCTATTATGTCTGTCTTTCAATGACTTCAACTGACATCTTTTCAGTTTTGTAGTTTCTATGAGTTTATTATGTCTAGATATGTTTTTAGTGTATCGGAGAAGACTGCAGTGCCAGGGTAAGGAAAACTTTCTTTAGTGGTAGTGTTAGTGAAAAATTGCAAGCCCAAATTCTGTCTTTTGACAGAGAAAGACAAACAGATTTCCCCATATTTAATACCCATACCGTAAAACGTAAAATTAAAATACCATGTCTAGGTCTGCATTTGTGCACATTCAGAAATCTACGGACTGAAAAAAAACTGACTGAGAAAAATGACACGACTTTTCCATCTGCGAATTTCAATATTTCTACCGCCCATACTATATGCCAGTTTACTATGTGTTTTTTTTTTACAATAGAGAAGGATAATTGAATAAAACCCACGACTTCCCGTGACCACGGCTTCTGCAAAGCACCCGAAACATCCTACTAAGTAATTTCCAAATAACTTAAACTAATATACATCGCGTTTTAATGTGTACAACTCGCGTAAACTACAGACAGTAGGGTAGACAAGACACTTGATGGAAGGTACAACATTTTCAGCCATCTATATATATAAAGCTGAAGAATCTGTTTCTTTGTTTGAACGCGCTAATCTCAGGAACTACGAGTTCTAGCTGAAAAAAATATTTTTGTGTTGGTATTCGTTTTATGCAGTTATCGAGGAAGGTAATGTTTTATAGTCTATACTATAAAATATCGCGACGAGCGAAAAATGTGAAAAAAATGTGAGAAAATTATTCATCGTTATGGCTTTCCCAGGCGTACGCTACAAAAACGGTTCATGATCACCCAAAAAAAATGTATTAAGGATTGATTCCTTTTTAATTGATCTGAAAAAATCTATATCGTTTATCTTTTAAGATCAAATTGCAAGAACGGCAGGAATAGAGGAGACCGACGTCGTGGGTAACAGCTTAAGTTTATAAAGAAGAAGGGGAACTTCCAAAAACAAATTTGGATGCCCATAATAACGATTCTCGCGGACGAAGTCGCTGGCACAGCTAGTGAAATATAATACTTTCATGTTACGCGTTCTAATTTATTGACGCAAGAAGTTGCAGACTCGTGACGTTTGCACGTAGCTTTTCATTTTTCATTTTATCCTGTAGGGCTGTCTCCAGATTGTCAAGACATTTTAAAATAAAATAATATTGATATAAACTAATTTTAGAGAGGAGCATGGCAAAACAATGCCATATGACATACAACCTAACCCCCCGCCATATACTCCCTGAAGAGTCTAGAAATAACACGTGCGTCGATCCTTTAATATCGATATTCTCATTTAAATCCGTTCAGCCGACGTTGCGTTGTAGTTAACTCACATCATTCTTCATCCGATTAAAACACGTTTTAAACCATCGATTCTAACCCCGTACAGTCCCTCTATTACGATATTCTCATCGAAATCCGTTCAGCCGACGTTGTGTCGTAGATAAGTCACATCTTTAACGTATTAAAATGCAATTTAATCATTGAAGATTGATTTAGAAACGGTTTAAAACGCGGTTTAATCTGTTGAAGTGTTAAATTTAATAGGACGAAAAAGGAATTTTAATCTTGGCTACATGATATAATAATGAATAAATAAGGAACGTACTTCCTTTAAATAAGTTCTTGTGTTCTTCATAAATGTTGTTTTAAATAAAATCCAACAGTCACCAACCCTAGCTATCCAAGTGTTCGTGAGCTACTTAGTATATTTTTATTCCAGTGTGAAGGAATGGCGTGTGAAGCACGAGTAAGTATAACATATAAATGTATAACTAGTGATTTGCTCTGTACAATATTATGTAAAGTAAATAATGTGTAAAGACATAGGGCAGACGCAGTTCAAGGTTTACTTGTCAAAATGTGAAATTCACCATCACTGCCCTTATGCGCAGTCGACCCATTTTACGTAAGACATTTAAACCTTAAAATGTTTGTGCCAATATATCTTTAGGAGTAGCGCACTTTCAATTTTTCACCGCTCGTGGAAACGGCTACAAGTTACAACTTGTGAAAAATTAGCTTATCTTAATCTGCACGTAATGCGCGATGACTGCTGTTGGAATTGCTTAAGGGTTGATAAAACACATTTAAAGAAAACTTTAACGGTTTAAAACGCGAAATATATTAGAAAACTTATTTTAACGTTTGAAAACATTATTATTTTTTACTGTATGTTAGCACTATATAATTAAAGAATCAAAATTAAATTGTAAGAATTTTCGACTCAACACGGCTATGCTAGCGACATCCTTTCCGTTGTTTCGCCAAACATTGATTTTTGTAGAAATTGGCTAGGCCTCACAGAAGCGACTTAACGTGTTCTCTCGTTTACCGGGTACTATTCTGGGATTTTTAAAATGAGATCAGGTTCCCATCTAGTTTCTTAAATACCAAGTACGACAAAACAATTATACGTTTCATCTTGAGTCCCCCTGTGACCACGTCTGCTGCAAAGCATCAAAAACTTTACGTTCCGTAATTAAAAATTAGTTAACAACTATATTTCACGTTTTAAATCATTAAAAGTGTATTATTTCCATATTAACAGACAATTCTCAAGTAGATGTAACCTTACTAAATCTTTCTATACATTTTGACAAAGCCTGACTGTACTGTCGTATTCTTAAAGTCTAATCTCATTACGGTATTTAAATAGCTGTGTTTTAAAACAAGCTTCATTAGTTCCTCGAGAAGTTTGTTTTGCTGGTTAATTCATTGTAATTACTTTACAGTTTTAATTACTAACTGTGCTAATGCAATTTCAGTGTCGAGGTGTCGACTGCCAGGCTGGTGTAAGTACGTTTACAGATAAAATATGTTCGGAACAAAAGGACTCAACGAATTATAGTTTTGCAACTTGTTAAGAAGCAGTGGGACTTTGCCTAAGTAAATGTCAAACATGACTTATTTGCTTATTATAAACTATAATTGTTAATTTAGATAAAAGCTTCTTTGTGATTTAGTATATTACGTTTGACGGGTTAGTGTAATGGTAGCAATGTAGGTGTGGCTAACAAGGGGTCGCGGGTTCGATCCCCACCGCATCCAACATTTTTTTTATAATTTTATTTTAGATATTTTTGTCCTACTCGATCATATAAATATTTATATTTTTTATAATGACATTGAAGTGCAGCAAAATTCGTCTTTAGTTTCCGCTAACAGACGCCTTTTGCAGGACCAATTACCTAATAGGTTTAGTTTAACAAATAAATAGGTATATGTATAATATCTTCTCTGTAAACACTTTAAAAATAATGTTGTTACTGGTATTGTTGGCATTAACAAAAGGGACACAGATATTAAATTGTATTATTTTCAGTGTCGAAGTTTCTCCTGTAAATATATAACAAATGGTCACTTCAAGCGAGGTGGAGGCATTTGGACGGAACATTATCCAGAATACGACAACAATAATATTAGAGGAAATAATAAAAATTACGATTATTATTAAAATTTAGTGTGGAGTCACTCTGTTTTTTTTTAAAGTTTTGATTGAAATGTATTAATGACACGCACGAGAGTCAAACTCAAGACATACAGCCTAATGACATTTCAAGGATTGATAGTGTTTTGTTTTTACAAATAAAGACAACTTTGCAAAAAAATTCAAAGCAAAGATTTTTTTTTAACAATAATTTTCATCTAATTTCAGCTGTTATCGTAATGCGTATAAAATGTGTTTATTTTTGTCGCATGTCTTTATTGTGATTTCCTTTATTATCTTTTGATATTTTATCAGCCAAATTTATCTGACCTAAAATAATCCTTCTTTACTAAAATTCTCTTAGGCACAGCCGGGATATAAGGGCCGTCACTAAATTGTCTTTTATATATAACTATAAGATTATTTATCTTGTTTTATGTATACAAAAATGTTACTAACATACGAAAAATATATTTTACTTGGACAATCGACAATAATCAATCTACAAATGTCTCAGAGGTCGTTGTCCTTCCAACTTCATACAAAAACGAACTAGAATAACTTATACTTAACTATCAAACCGGAATAGTACAAGAAACGCGTGCTCTATGTATTTTCCAAGTAAAACATATCCTTAATGCTAAATTGCTTTCGTCCGTAATGACTGAATGATAAAAGCGCCCCAAGATTATATTTAATACTCTGTAATTGTTAGTAAGAAATTCTACTTCTTTTCGGGAACCTCATATTATTGTGGACGTAAGTATGAAAAATTACAGTGGCTGTCGCTCAACGCTCTCTCTTTTATGTTAAAAGTGGCGCTAAAATAAATCATGTTGGCAAGATGAAGGCAGACAAATATGTCAAATGAATACATAATTATATTTTCACGTGATAGGAATAATGTGGATGGTCTCTGACGCGTCCTAGGGTAGGAAAAGTCTATTTAATTATTTATATAAAACACTTTAACGGTGTTTCACTTTATATATTTAAGCGTTGTATTTAGATGTGTACTATTCGCGTTAACTACAGACAGTATTGAAGAAAAGTCTAGTAACATTATATTTTTAGTCGGATAGAACGCAACAATAATTACTTGTAATTAAAACTCGATAGATGTGTCCGCCGTTTACTTAGACGTACGATCTAAAGCTACTATATATCGCTTTTGAGAACTTCATTATTATTCACATGTTAGTGCACATCATGGTATTGATTGCACCCAAGCGAAGCCGGGCGGGTAGCTAGTAAATTATAAATCACGGACGAGACGTGAAGTAGCAGTTCAGCCCAGCAGCTCCAAACACCGGTTCAGTTAACTCCTGCCTTCTGTACAATTTACAATTTTATTGGGAATAAAGGGCGCCCTAAAAGACGAAATACACTGACATCACTTAGTACACTAATTTTGCGAAAAGTAATGTGTCCTAAAAAAACCGTCTTAAAAACGCACTACACTCGCGGAAAACATTAACACTTTAAATAAAACACTTTAACGGTTTAAAGCGATATATTAGTTAAACTTATTTGAAAATGATTTTCAAATAAGTTTAACTAATATATCGCTTTTAAACCGTTAAAGTGTTTTATTTAAATGTGTACTACTCGCGTAAACTATAGACAGTATTTAACATTAACACTATAACTACTATTAGTAGTCTCTGACACGCGGCAGTTATAATTTAATAATATTTGACAATTGACAATCACAGATAAAACTAACAAAACTACCAACCAGCACGCACGAATGGCACCCAAAAGCGGTTGTGTGCGCGCTGATTTAATTCTGCCGTAGTATTACAAAAACCCCACTACCCTCGAATATTATTATTTTAAACGGAACGCGTAATCCTAAACGTTACTTTGTGTAAACTATATGAACAGTATCTATATCGTGAAAACAGTCAAAGCGTTGGGCTTTGTCGTAGCTGCCATCAATCAAGCGTATAATTAAACCTTGCGGCGCCGGTGGGAGGTGGATGTTGCAGAATTTTGCACGAGTTTAGCAAGACTTTCAAAAGAATTTGAGGTTTCAGGATCATGCCATATCTTGATATATTTATATAGACCAACTGATAATGAATAATTACTCTTGTAAATAGTTCAATATAAGTCAAATCTATATACTTATATATAAAGCTGAAGAGTTTGTTTGTTTGAACACGCTAATTCGGGTTCGAATTGAATTTTTTTTTGTGTTCGATAGAGAATTTATCAAGTAAAGCTATTAAACATCGCCCTGTGACTAATACAAGCGACGATACCGCGAGAAATGTGACAAAATTTGGGAAACTTATTACCGAGGGTTGCCTGGGTTACGAGGCGAGGCGTACACAGCAAAAACGGTTTAAAATACCCAAAAAATATGTACATATGCATATGAGGATTCCTCTTTCAATGATCTAAAAAAAGTCTACGACACTATATGTCTGTCTTTTAACATTAACTTGCAAAAAAAGACGGGAACGGAAGCGACCGACGTCTTAAGTTTAAAAAGATGAAGGGGTTTACAAAATTAACTTTCCTAGGCGGACGTTGACACAGCGAGTATGGTATTAAAAACATTAACGCAATGTTATTACGTTAAAACATCAAGATTTTTGTCAGAAGAGGATAGACAAGTATGGCGTTGCTGTGTTGGAATGGGAATTACCCCAGCCATATAACCTAACCTAACAAGATGCTTTTTGATCTATTTTTTTCACTTCGTTTATCCACAGACTCAAACCGAAACGTGATTAGAAGTAACGGCTTTTTCATTTGTACCTTTTGAAAATCATACCGCTTACCATATTTTACTATACAATTTTTTAGACGAAATCTAACATATTTTAGAAATGTTATACATGAAAAAACTTTATTAAATTTAAATCTTGTTAAACCGGATAAAAATCAAATCCAACACCCGTTGATTATTCACCATATGTTAATAGGACCCCGTAGCTTGTTCGTCTTGCCTGGATTGGAACTTGAGATGTCTTTTTTTTTATTACAACTGATATAAATTTGTTATTTAAAGTCTAAGCAAAATATGTCGTACATCACAAGAAAATGTTAGTTAGTTTTAGTAGAAAGTTAGCTTACATTTTACGCATTCTTTGATTGTATTGTAAAGATATTTTTACTCTGGAGAAAAGATCACTTCTAACGAAAGAAATTAAATTGATATGAACAAATAAGTATTCAGAAACAGTGCCACCTAGTGTAGAGAAAAAGTACCTCTTGACGTGAGGTACCTCTTGACCTGAGTGTTTAAAAGCTAATGGTACGAAGCGCTATAAATTAAATATAAACTAGATGGCGTAAATGTACATCTGCTTTACATTAATATCAATCAATATATTTAGACCTAAGGATAATTATGTAAGATTCCTTTGAAATCTATAGAATGAAATTATTCATTTTTACTTATAAAATTATATTATGTCAATACAAAATTTTAATATGCCACACATACATCAGTGATCCCAATTTTAGGGCTTCTACTTCTAGGTTGGAATCACTTATGGCTTCCTCCTAGGCTAAGGCAAAGATGCGGGAAATTAATTTTAAAACAATCATTTCTAAATAAAAATACTTAATTTTTATCTACAATGGTTTTTAATTAATTAAATAATAATATAAACTGCATCTTTATAAATACAGCTATTCGAATATACATATATTTTTAATAAAAAAATGTGATTAATTGAGCTTTATTGTATACGCAAATGTCATTTACTAATCTTTAAGCAGAAGACTTTCAGAAGTTTCTTTGGCCTCATTGGCCGCATTGATTTTTAAGATACAATATCTAAAAAAAATATTTTAAAAATTGTTTATAACTTTCAGGTTTTTGAAAAGGTATTAATGTTTTTCATTGGCAATAATGAAAAACATGAAAAACCTAGTCAAATAATTCTAAGAGAAGTTAGCTAATCTAATAAGAAAATAAATCAACTGTTATATTGAATACTCTCTACAATGTTATTTGAATAATACATTTTTTGGGTAAGTTCCTAATAAAATAAAATAACTTTATATTGTATTGACTACTTTCATACAACATTATATATATATTAAAAAAACTACTACTATACTAATATTAAAAATCACATCACAGAGTCGTTCTATCCATCCACCTTATCCTCACTGAACTGAGAAGAAATCCAAGTGAGCGCCCATTTTAAATTGGTCAGCATGTACTTAAGGGCTTTAGTCCAATGTTCCTCCGAGTTAAATTGTATTTTTATGGAATAGGCATGTGGTGGTGAAGCGGTATCTTCAATTTTTCCTTTATCTATTCTGTAGGGCAAACAAAACCCTGTATTCCCCTTTTCCACTTGTTCTTTAAATTGCTGAAGACAATCCAAAAAAGCAACCATAGCTGCATCAAACTTTGTATCCCATAGAAAGCGAAAACCTCCAGAACCATAAAGGGGTAAAACTTTCTGATCTTCTAAAACTTCAATGTAAGAATGATTTCCATATGGAACTAGCCGATATCGCTGAAAGCAGAAGTTTATCTTCCTTGCCAATGAAGAGAGAAGCAAAACGGTCTGACCCCACGCTGCATTAATTTCAGACCAATCAACTGGTGCTGTAGGCAAACGACCGAGTCTAAAATTATTTATTATACCAAATTGACCTGAATCTGAAATATGAAATGTTGCTTTAAATATATTTGTTTTCTTCAGCTTTTCCAGTTGTGCTTGAGTATATGCCAGTTGACACTCATAGAATTTCATTTGATCTTCTGTTGTCATCAAATCTTTGCGATATCTGGTGTATTCTTTCCAATATATATCTTGTTCTAATTCTAATCTTTCTTTTTCTTTCTCCTGAACCTCTATTTCATCTTTCATAGCTTTTTCCTCCTTTTGTAATGCTGACAACTCTTGTAACAATCTATTTTCTTCTTCTTTCCAATCACACAATTCTTTTTCAAGGCCTTCTAAATTTAAATCTTCTTTATCATCCTCCAACTTTTTCAAATAGTCATTATAGTCCTTCCACTCAGCTTCTGTGATCTTTAGCTGATTATCCATCAATTCTAGAAGTGTATCAGTGCATTCATCACATAATGGATGGTCAACGTCAGAATTGTTAGATAACAAATCAAACAATGTTCCTTTTACATGCAACTGATGGCCTAATGATGTAGTTTCCCAGCCATCAGAAATCACCATAAACCCATTAGCTCCGTTGCCAGAATCCAACATACGAAAAGGTGGAACATAATGTTCTAAGCTCGATGATTGTAAATCAAGGTCTGCCTCGTTGTTCCTTCGTATTTGAAGAGTTAAATCAGCAATAGTGTGTTCTCCAAGATTGTTTAAAGATTCGTCCAGTTTAAGTGGCTGCAAGCATCGTTGGCACGAGAATGTAACGTAGGCTTTGGAATCGTTCATGATTTCTTCATATAATTTTGTTCCCCACGAACGTGATAAGATAAAAGGTAAACGTTAATTAATGTAATAAATTTAAATAAACACAGTATATAAAAATTAACAAACTGCGTCTTTCTACAATATTTCTGAATTTCTCTTGTAATTTAGCAAAACAAAAACAAAGAAGTTTAGTATTTACGTATTATGACAGCTGTCATACTTGACAGACTCCAGACAAAGAACAGTAGCACTAAAATTACAGAGTAATGAAATGTTGTGACTGCTTGATGTTGTTTGCTGTTTAGCATAGACTATAACTTCTGAACGAAATAATCTTCTCAACACTTTTTTCTATTGAATTGTATTTTACTAAATTTAAGAATAGGTAATTCGCCAATAATATATAGAACTAAATTTGAATTAATTAAAATTATTTGTTTCCTTCGAATGCGTATGAAAAAAATAATTAATTTATAATTTCGCTTCTTAAAACAAAATAGTTTCTCGATCCAGTAAGTATTAATTTCTACAGTATTATTATTGGTATGTACTATAAACAACATACTCACTTTTACATGGCCAGGATCCTAGTTGATTCGCCGTAAAACATTAAATATTACTTACTTAGCTATGTATATTTATATAGGGTAATAGGTATCATAAATAAAACTAATTTGTGATATTAAGTACTTTAAATAATCATCTACAAAGACTAGAATACCATGAAACTATAGAGCACCGTTTATTTACATTTATTTTAAATTGAAATTGGCGCGAATTCGTGAGATTTTAAACTCCTAGTAAATAATCTTTGACCTTAGTATTAGGTTTAAAGAAGACAAAAACGTTGGGAGTGGTGTATTTAGTAAATATCATACATACATACAAGTTCAATTTACAAATCGCACGCTTAGTATTACAGTAACCGAATTAAAAAAAAACACTTTTTTGGCAAATCGTATAAAACGTTATGATGGCGTTATTATAGTAATGTCAGTGCATTTATCTAATTTTACTTAAATTTTGAGTTAGGTCACTCTAATACTAAGCGTGCGAAATGCCCTGGCAAACTCATAATAGGACAAGAAATTAAACTCTTAACTACTACGTAAATTATAATAATATAGGCATTTCTTATAAAATAATTCCTTTAAAAACAAAACAAATAACAAAAGTATCTATTTAGGGTACTTACACAATAAATTCTCATACTTTAACACGATGTATCTAACAAAGAGTTGAGGTGGGTAATCTAAGTAAAGGTATCTAGTACAAATAATACTGAAGACTAGGTCTATTTAGTACGGAATACATATTATAGATAAGAATTACTATATTAAAGATAATAACAATATACATACTTAGCCGTTGATTTTTAATGTGTTTTCCCTAGATTCAAACCTAGGATCTCAAACGCTGAATGTCACGCTAGGCAGCGCGTTTTACCATTGTGCTAAGGCATATAAACCGAAATATTCAAAGTCTATAATAAAAATAGTTAGTAATACTGATGGATCACAATCATTACTTGTACTTATGGTGTATTGCCGTGTAAGAAATGAGTAGTATCTTGGAGTTTATGGTAGTAGGCGTTGGGTAGAAATGATTGAGCCCATCCGCCTTGGGCATGTTGAGCAGGGACCAAAATTTCTCTGAAAAAAAAAGTCACTTAATATAAACAAGAAAGAGACAAAATACCAAATCATCTTATATTAAAACGTATAAAATAAATAGGAGGCCGATCTATAACCCAAAGATTTTCAAATGTCATGTACCTACTTACTCGAACTATTCAATTTATTATTGAAAAAGTTTAAAATTATAACTTTTGCGGTTGTAATAAATTAAATGATTTTTACAATCGTTGTAAAGGTTTGGGCCTTGAAACTTTTACTGATTAATTTTCCCGCATTCATCAAATAAAAAAAAACCAACAGGACTTTCTAATTAAGTTTACTTAATAAAATAATAATATTAATTATTAAAATATTAACTAATAAAATATTAATTCTTATTTATTTAATTAAGAATCATAATTCTTAATTAACTAATTAAGAATTAATTTGAGAATTGGGCAACAATTAATTTAATTAAATAAAGTTAGATACGTTTCAAAGAGTTTGTACCTGTTTACATAAGTACAAACCCTACGTATCTAAATGATTATATATAACATAAACAAGTACGTGTAAAATATACAATACAATAAACAAACACGCCGCCATAGGTAACCCAAATATCATTAACTTTTTACGAGCTTCGTCAAAAGGTCTTTGTTTTAGATTCGTTCAAGGTTAGGAGTCAAGAGGTTGGTGATTTTGGGTGTTGAACATTCGAGTACGCGGTACCTACTACGGTATCATAATATGAGGCATAGTGGCCTAATAAACATGATTTTCAATAAGGAGATTGCGTAAACTGAGGCGAAAATGAATTTAAGTATTATCTGTGGTCAGAATTATGTTAACAATTTTCATTGTGCTCTTGTAGACTATAAAAGTAAAAATAACTCAAGTCAGAAAAATTGCAGATAGGCTACTCTGCTTCTAGCGGCCTCATATACCTATTATCGGTTAAAAGAAAGTATTATACGAGTAAAAGTAACGAAAGTTAAACGCAAAAGAATCAACAATGCAAGGTAATATTTATTAAAAGTGGCGACATGAAATTATGAGATCGCTAGAAAAAAACAGTTGATATTTAGGATTTAATATAGGTAATGTAGGTATTAAGGATACATACCTACTTTTGGAGTACAAGTTAGAGCATTTTAACTACAGAAGTCGCTGAGTTTGTAAATTTAAGTCTTTCAGATTATTGTTAATGACATTTGAGAACAGATAAGCATATGGTTCACTTATTAAATGTAAAATCTTGAGGCATATAGCATCTAAACGAGATGCGCTATGAACCTTATTTGACTATAGAGTATAGACATACGGAGATGACGAAGAGAAATGAAATAATACCATCTTTTATTGGCGGACTTTCACGCCTATGGTTTTTTCTCCGTCCGTCCGTTCGACATTAATCAATAATGTACAGAATTTTTTGCTTAAACAAATGTTTCGCGCACATGTGACGTTCATTGTTAGACTCTAATGATCCCTAAAAGTAATGACGGTTCAATATTTGGACGGTCAGAGTTAGAATCTTAGATAAGGTCGTTTCTGAGAATATAAATGAAACATATAATATATTGTGGGGGACAGACAAACTGTTCACTTTCTTTTACATATACATTACTTCACATCACGGGTTTTATATCCATTTTTTCGACTTAAATATATTATATTTAAGTCTATAACAAGAGGGAACTAATATGTATACCATAAGTGTAATTGTTACTTGTTGAACGATAAATGGTTATTAGTTATTACTAATACGAAGATTTAGAAGCATATATCCTAAGAAAGCGATGTATGGCTAATAATCGAGCCGTAGGTTTGATTCCTAGGTCTAACATGTTTCTAATCAATTTTTAATTTTTTAGATGGACTCCGTCTTGAAATAAAATAGGTGGTAGGAATATCGAAATTTCGTCCGGATCGCGAACCACCGTCCAGAGATAAAAAAGTCATCAAGTTTCGCGTTCTGGTTACAGTCTGTGGTGTCGATGGAGAGTTAAGTAGGAGAACTAAGTATATAGATGGAGAATTTCAAGTGAATCTCATACTAGTCTATCCTCTATAATAAAAGAAATGACTGGGTGGGAATCCGACCTGATGTTTATTAGCTATATGATCCTACTTGCTGTGTGTACTTTTACAGTATGCCTTTTTACACTTAAAAAGTCTGTTTCTATTTCTTTTCTCCTGTACTTTAGGTTGCCTGGAAGAGACAGCTGCTTAGCGATAAGGCCGCCTTTTATTTATAAGTTAGTACGTTAGATTTTTTTATGTATTTTGTGGCATGTCTTATAAATAATAAAGTTATAATAAATAAAAAATAAATACACTTCAATTGTTATAACCTCTATATATATAAATTATACTTACGGTCTGTTAGGTTGTTGTGGAGTTCTGTCTCTTTGACGTCGGTTTTTGAACCAATTTGACACTTGCGTTAACGTCAGACCAGTCTTTTGTGCTAAAGCGCGTTTTTCATCTGGCGTTGGGTACCTAAGGAAAAAAGTGGTACAGTAAAAGATAGAAATAACTTTAGAAGAAGTCTATTTTATTATAATATTTGCATAGTAATCGGGGTTAGTAAGCTAGAAAGTATTGTCGTCTTTACTAAGAACTTTGAAGTATTGTCTAAAGTTAATGCGAGCAGTACACATTTAATGCGCCGTAAACGCGAAATGTCTCCGCGTGACTGCAAAGCATCCGAAACGTCGGGCCGTAATTAAAATAAATTATTAATAAGCTAATCAATATATCATTTAAAATTTATTTAAATAAGGTTTTATATCCACTGATTGAATTAGAAACTGAGAAAATTTTAATTACAGGTTGATATTATTACTCTATTTTCTAGCAATTATCTAGGTATCAACGTTGCAGTTGTTTAAGAAATCCATTCAAATTATGGTAAACACTTTAATGGTTTCAAAAGCGACATTTATAGCAAAACGGCTGCTGCAAAGCATCCAAAACGTAGGACCGTATTTAAAAATCTGTTGTGAACAAGTTCAACCAATAAACTTCGCGTTTAAACTGTTAAAGTATTTTATTTGAATAATCCTTACCTATTTCTATAGTAACATTCCTTGAGGGCGTTCCTACTCTTCTCTTTAAAACAGTAGACTGTTTCTTCGCCGTCCCAAATTGTCTTTGGCAAAGGATATTTCTTTCGTAATCTGTATTTATCGACGGCACCTGAAAAGTACTAAATCAGTTCAACCTGTTTAGTTAGAGTTATTTATTAAATTGAGAGACAATAGAAGTTTACACATCTCCGAGGTCGTTGGTCTAATGGTAGCATGGCTAATTATTATCGATCGGGTTCAACATGTCTCTCATTATCTGGATATTAAATTGGCGGAAAGAATATCGACATTTTTTGCGAGTTATGAACCGCAATCGAATGAAAAAGCCGTCAAATTTATTAGCAATCCGTAGATTTCCGAATATCTTAACCCAAAATAGGTCGACATGGTCGGGGTATTACACCTTCTATCGTGAACCCTACGCTTGTCTATCCCCAACCATAAAAATAAAAGATAATTTTGCTTATACTTTACTATATACTTATACTTCTACTTATAATTATAAACATTCAAAATGAGTATTCGTCAAACAATTTAACGATGCAAAGAAATAACGATACAGAACACAAAGAATAGCCACCGATAAAACAAAAAGGTCGTACCCAAATCCCGTCCGCGGACTTTTTCTGCCTCTTTGTAGTGAGCGTTGAACCACAAGTTCTGTAGCATTGTGTGGTGTTTTGGCGGGAAAGTGTGTGTTTCCAATATGGCGTACAATTCTTGGTACACGCCTCTATGGTACGCGACCAATGCACGGGCTCTAGAAATAAACATTCCGAAAAGTTATAAAACAAAACCCTTTTAACGGTTAAAAACGAAAAACACATTTATATTCATGTAAGTTCCAATAATAATAATAATAAAAACTCTTTATTGCACAAACATAGACATAGATACTTAGAATTATACATATATACAAAATAAAACATGTTTGTGCAAAGGCGGCCTTATCAGCGGCGGCGGCGAATATATTTCGCATTTGCGGCCGTTAAAATTGTTTTAATTTCGATTTTTTAGTTAAACTTCAGGGAATACTAACTGCTCGATTGTTTAAATAAATGTATATAATCTATAACTTACCGTAAAACCGTTTCATTTCCACAGACCAGCTGACTTTCCGGCAGACTCCACAAGAAGGCCGCTAATTTCTCTATATCACCTTTTTGTTGCAGAGCCTCGCACATGCATTGAACTTGTTCTGTATTGAAATTAACACGCCTCATATTCGTCGGTCCACCTTCGAAATAAGACTGCAATCTCTCAGTATTACCAACGGGAACGTTCTCAAAATTCTGATTATTTATATCAATATCGATTTCAACTAAATGATTTTCATTCGGAATACATTTTTGACTATCGCTAAAATAGGAACGCATTCTTTCCTCCGTCTCCATTTGAAAAAAGTTATCGTTTATTGGCGGCAATTTCAATTCGAAATTCAAATATTTTTTACTCCTCGGCGGCGAGGCGTACTCGAAGTTTTTATTGCTCTCCTGCAAATAAACCTCTTTGGTGTGCCTTTCGTTCTGTGGGGACTTCTGTTTGCAGGAAAAATATTGTTTTTCCACCTCTGGCTGGTAAAAATTTTCGTTTTGATTTTCGTAGGAGAACGGAGGCAGAGAGGTTTCGGATTCGCTCGTCATATCGCTCGACGGACTGACGCGGTCAGCACATTCCATGTTTGTAGATTTCATACCCGAATATGCTTCTATCTGTGAAAAATTAAAGCCTATTTAATTCTGTGAACTACTAATAAGTCTTCGAAGTTGTTACACTTCGATGTAACAGTTTAAAACCATTGTAACTAATTGAGGCTAGTGGCAGAGTGGCCTAACTGCAATTTTATGATTAAACTTATTTATATTTTTATAGTCTAAAAATGTTAATCTACAAGAGCACAGTGGCCGAAAATTGTTAAAACAATTCTTACAGAAATAATAGTACAAATTTATTTTCGCCCAAGTTAATTGCGCATTTCTATATTTCTCCTCATTAAAAGTCATGTTTTTGTTATTAGGCCACTCTGCCTCTAGCAGTCTCAATTGAAACTTTAAATTCACTAAGAAAATAAACTGTCAAACTTCAACTATCCCCTAAAATAACAATTATTTCGTTCGATTGCGTAAAAATAACGGCATTGTTTATAAAACATTCTCTGACACTTCACCGGATACTATTTAAAAACATCACATTACGGGTGGAAAAAAATATAGGTCATAATTTTAGGAGTCAACATATTGAATAAAACTAACAAATAAAACTATAAACTACATATTATGTAATATTATAAAGCGGAAGAGTCCTCTTGTTTGATTAAACGCGCTAATCTCGGGTATCGCTGTTTCAAATTGAAAATTTTTTGTTCTTTGGGGCTTCCGTTGCGTGCGCTGCGAAAACGGTTTAAAAAACCAAAAAATATGTATGAAGTTCTCTAAAACAATGTCATCGACACTTTATATCTATCTTTTAAGATTAACTCTCAACAAGAGTTTTTATCTTTTTTAATCTTTCAAACAACAAAGCAACGTTAGGCAGATCAGGTAATCATTACATGTGTATATCCTTTTCAGAAGCTACTACAACCGACGGCTACTGAAAATCAACGTTGTGCCAATAAAAAAAAAAAACGCATTTTAACTCGTTATTAGTTTTAAGAAATAGTGACAGTTAGTGTAAAAGTGGAACTCTATCATAGATAAACGATATAAGTGTTTATAGTAGTTTATAGTTTTAGAATTAGCATCAAAATCAGAAAAGCAAAAAGTCAAAGTAGTAAGTAGCAATTATTAAATTTATTTCTCGGTAATTCAATTTTTTTTACATATATGACCAGTACCTAGTTTATGTGATATTAAAAAAAAATGAAATCCGAAAAATATTACAGTAATCTGTACGTATGTTAAGATTTAAAACTTTATAAATATTCGGTATTGAATACCTAAATCTTTCGCTGGGAAAACGTGCCGCCGGCATTTTGAACTTTAATTTATTCAATATAAACAAGTTATAATTAAACTTACCAATTTTTACCTAATCAACCGACATTTATTGCACTAGCACTGGTTTTCAATTTCAAACATTCACAAAAATAAATTATCTAGACACCCTCACCCATTGAAGTCGTCGGGTCAAATGACAAAGCGTCTCGTTTCAAGGAGGGTTATGGTGGAGATAGAGTGAGTGATAAGGATGGAAGATGGGCGGGGCTTGTAAGGCTTTTTTAATTTTCCTTTTTGGCAACGCCTTCGCCAGGTGAGGTCGGCGGATAAGCATTAAAAAATTATGGATTTTTTAACTCAATACTGTTCGTACTTGTTATTATACCGTTGACTGTACCGAATACCCAAAGCCAAAATGGGTCGACAGCACATCTTGTTTAGTTATTATATGGCTGGGGTATTTACCTCCCATCAGGAGATCCCCATGCTTTGTTTAAAAATTTGATTAGAAGACCTAGAGAACACCAAACACTACACAATTTAAAATTGAATCTCTAGTTTATGCACGAATAATACACAAATAAAGTTATAGCTGTTTAAAACTCAAATATATTAGCTTAACTTCTATCAGACTAAGGGAGACGTTTCTTGATCCCCAGTGACCATTGTTGCTGATCATAGTTAAACAAAATGGTTCTCTGCACCAGCTTCAAAAAGTTTCACGAACACGAACACAAAATTCGTTTAAAAGAATAAAAATAACCCGATGTAAAATTGTAGTTTCTTCTAAAGTATATATTTTTTATATCACTTGTACTTATTATTAAAATACTCCTAAACGTCTTATCCCCCATAGCTCAGCTTACCACACATACAACATATTATAGTCATGACATTACGACTACTTATATATGTTTTTTTTTTATAATAGGGGTGGACAGACAAACACGAGGTTCACCTGATGGAAGCTTAATACCCCAGCCATGTACTTGGCTCCCGAGAAAGCAAAATATTGTTTTCGGTCGGGCAGGGCACAGGAGTCTGATCTAGTACTTGCATGTAAAATAAACTAATCAGTGCAATGGGCACAGAAATGTCTTCGCCCCCATGCCCCATGGCGGGAAACAGGATTTCACATTTATTATCTATACTCTATACTAACATTATAAATGCGAAAGTACTTGTCTGTCTGTCTGTCCGGCTTTCACGCCGAAACTACTGAACCAATTTAAATTAAATTTGGTACACAGATATTCGAGCCTGAGAAAGGTCATAGGCTACTCAGATAATGCCAAAAAAAAGGGTTTTTAGGGGTTGAAAACGGGGATGAAAGTTTGTAGTGAAATTAAAAATTTAAAACTTTCTTCTTTGACTTTTGGGAATTGGAGTGAGAGTGGGAGTGTTGCGCCAAAGTAGCACTTACAACACAGATTGGCTGCCTTGAATGCGCCCTTTTCGATGACATGCATTTATAGAATTATTTTTATCGAATTTACTAATAATAGGTATAAACGCAAAAAAAAATCTAAAAACACTGTATTAGTAGCACATGTACCTTATTAAATTTTTAATTAATTATAATATAATAAATAAATAAACAGCCTAAATAATTAAACATTCTACCGAAAGTCACTATCCTCCACGCGGACGAAGTCGCGGGTACAGCTAGTATGTTTATAAATATAAATACAGTATATGTGTAGTATACAATGGTATTAAAAATCAAATACCGTACTTTTTATCGATTTTAAAGGACTCGACGTTTCATACAATCCACAATTTTCCATACAAACAGCTAATTCCTGGTACATGGTTGTTTGTTTCTCACGTTTGCTTTCCACGTAACTGCCATTTGACACTACCCTCAGAGGCATCGCTTGGTATTTTTATGGAAGAATATTATACAGACAGTAAACGGAGTCTTTTCTATCTATAATATACTACAACAGTACTGTTAAGTAACTTTGTCAGGTATCGCTAAGAATTGACAGGTCGTAGATTCGATCTGCTATGGGGTCCATGTTTAAAAACGAATTTGTAATTTTTTGGAAATCCGAATGTTAACGTTACGGTCGCGGTAACCGTAAAAAAAACATAAAACTGTTAATCCATATCATCCACATTTATATAATACACTTTAACGGTTTAAAACGCGATATATTAGTTAAACTTATTTGGAAATGATTTTTAACTTCGGCCCGACGTTTCGGATGCTTTGCAGCAGCCGTGGTCACGGGGAAATTGATATATCGCGTTTTAAACCGTTAAAGTTAGTTTTTATTTAAATGTGTACTACTCGCGTAAACTATAGACAGTATTTCATCCACATTATCAAACACCTGGAATCCCATATTAAAAACTCTAGACCCCAATAAACAGCATACCGGCAAACGCGAAGACACCGTTAGTCAATTCTGTAAGGACCCGGCCAGTTTCGCCAAATACCAACTTCGACGGAACAGACGGCGCTAGGGTAGCAATTTTTTACTTTGACGTCGGAGACATCCTCCATCTTTAGTCTCCCCGTGACCACGGCTGCTGCAAAGCATCCGAAACGTCGGGCCGAAGTTATAAATCATTTTCAAATAAGTTTAACTAATATATCGCGTTTTAAACCGTTAAAGTGTTTTATTTAAATGTGTACTACTCGCGTAAACTATAGACCTATCTAAAATTATTTGTTATTAGTTGTTTGAACGACGGGACCCGACCGACGTAATGGGTAAAGAGCTCAAATTAATATACTAATACATATGAAGAGGTATACAAAAACAAATTTGAATCCGCAAAATAACTATTCAACATGGACGAAGTCGCGGCCACAGCTAGTTGTAGATAAAATGGATCATAAGGCAGCAAAATTATTCTTATCTACTGCCCGATTCGTGTGAACATTCTTAAATATCGACATAATAATATGAATGGATGTAATATGCAATATTAACAGAAAATTATCTTCGTGTGAATGAACCGAAGCGTTTTACTCAACGTAGCACAAAATCTGTCGAATCAATCGTTTTGGCGATATTTTTCTAAATATCTGTCGTAAGTGTTGTTATTGCACTATTGCATAATTCACTTCGGATCTATTTATTAACAGGACGCAGGTTCGATTTCTAACCCGGTCTAACATTTTTTTTAAATTATTGTATACGTTACTACAACATCTATAATAATATATAAAGCTGAAGAGTTTGTTCGTTTGTACGCGCTAATCTCAGGAACTACGGGTTCTAATTGAACAATTCTTTTGTGTTGGTTAAATCATTTATCGAGGAAGGCTATAAGGCTATAAAAATCGCATTGTGACTAATACAAGCGAAGATACAGCGAGAAATGTGAAGAAATTAGGGAAAATTATTATCATTAAGTGTTTCCGAGACGGTTCAAGATATCCAATATATATATTGAATGAATGATTTCTCTCCAAATGATCTAAAAAAAGTCCGCGACGCTAATATCTATCTTTTAAGATTAACTTGCAAGAAAGACGGGAAGGGCCAAGACCGACGTCGTGGGTAACAGCTTAAGTTTATAAAGATGAAGGGGGTTTGCAAAAACAGATTTGGACGCCCAAAATAACTACTCTATGCGAACGAAATCGCTGACACAGCTAGTAGTATATCACAAAAATCTGGACATTAAAAATAGGAATTGAAAAATCTTAGAATGTCAAACAACAAATAAAAAATCGTGGTTGTAAATCCGCTTCGGTTTTAGTCTATGGATTTCCTAATGTT